CCCCAAAACCCCAAAACCCCAAAACCCCAAAACCCCGATTAGTAAAAATTTCTATTAAAAGTTGATTGGATTAATTAATTCATAAAGATATAAGTAGGATTATGCTTCCATCTTAATTCATAGTAACTGTTTAAATTACATGAGTTAAGGATGTTGAATTAATTATCATAATAATCATTATTGGTGATTAATGAACTTGGATTGATTGTTGCTTAATGATCTATTATTAATAATTCCCTAGTTTTCTTTAATATGAGTTCCCTAGTTAAAAGATTGATTTTGCAATTGAGAATTTTAAGTAAATGAATGTGTTATCGTGTTGAACTCATCCTTATTATTTCTTAGTTTACTTTGACTTTTCTCTTTGATTTTTATGTTATTAACCAGTTGTTATTATTTCCCTTAGTTTTATTGATTGAAATTAGTACCTGACTTATTTAATTGGGAACTTGGTCTGTTCCCTGATGATTGTCTTTAAAGATTCACTTAGCTATGGTTTAAATTAATTGCTCCAATATTTCTCATATCAATTGATTATCTATTTGATGCGCCTACTGAATTCTTTTTCTTCTAGTTGCTATTTTAAGCTTAATTTTAGTCAACTAATGATTGCTTAATCTTATATTACTGCACATTTTAGTTAAACTGCTTTGTATTTTAAAAGGAATTAGACGAAGGAATTTAAGATCCGCCGTATCTAGAATTCGAAACTGGATTGCTGAGATTTTCAAATGACTATAGCTGATTTCTAGGAATAGCTTAATTATTTTGAGATTTGCTTAAAAATTAGACTTATTATCTGCTATCAACGTTTATCGTTTAGTTAACGCTTATCTATCCATTAGGATAATCATTAAATATATTTTTGGAGTTCAACTAATTGGTGTTAAATTGATCGCTGTCTGCAGATGACATAAGCCACTTTTAATCATCTATCATACTCTTATTATGTCCTTAATGATGAGGCATCATGCTACCATTTTAAAAGTTTTAAGAGTTCCTAAGCATCTTATTTTTCTTCTTCGTTTAAATACCGAACTGATTCTAATACTAAGAGTTAATTGAATATATACTTACGAAATCGATGCTTTCAGATTTCTTCTTAATGCTTTTCTTTCCTGAAGCCGAATCAAACATATAGGGATTGACATTCTATACAATATTCTTGTTTGATTGCCTATTAGAGTAATCCAATAAGCCATTAAAGCTACCGCTATTAAGTGATTATCTGTCTTTAGAGGAACCGTTTCTTCTCTTTTTTGTACTATGATGCCCAAGGACCATAAAGTTTCTTTTTTCAATCAGATTATTGCCATTTCTTGTTAGCAGCTGAAGTTAGTTTTTATTTATGGGAATTTCGCTTATAGTTTAATAAATATTCTTATCATTGAATAAGCTGTTTGATTAGACTTATGAATTTACTTATGAAATACTGTTCATATTATGATTACTTTAAGCTGAGTGCTAATTTTATGGAAGAGTTGAATAGTCTACAGAGTAGTTAAGATTTACATTAGGGAGCATTGAAATATTCTGTTAATTCATGCTCATTCCGCTGTGAATCTAATTGCTTTGATGTTGAATAGTTGCAAGGGTTTTAAATTTATCTATTTCTCTCTCAAATTCTACCTTAGTATCTTGTAACTATTTATTAGTATGTTCAAATTTCTCTTAGAATTATATTTTTTCTTTAGTTATCGCCTTAATCTAATCTTAAGTTTCCTACGTCAAAATCTTGAATTTCTCCTCTTGAGTTAAAAACTACTTGTCTAGCCTCTTTTTCTCTTTTTCAAACTTTACGTTTTGATTTTCTAGCTCTTCAACTCTACCTTCTAAATAATCCAAATGAATTTTCATCTCATGTTCAAGCTAAAATGAAAGATTAGTTAAAAAAACATTTTAAAGATAAATACTATAATTAGGAATATTAATTGCCTAAATCTTTATCAAATTATGAATTATTACGTTAGAAATATAAACTTACCCTTATATGACCTCGGATGTCACTTTCTAGCTTTTATAGCATTTTTTCATATTCTTTTGGAGGCTCCTCACTTTGCTGTGAATTCTTTTTACTGTTGTTGTCATCCCTTACAAGATTTCCTTTTTGACTTTCAACATGGCCATGCTATGAATTCGCCAATGCTTCTTTCATACTAGCATGCACGAAACTGGCTGAGGTTACAGAATAACTAGAACTATTCATATCATTGCCAGAATCACCCTATTTCTTCATGCTCATCTCCTTTTCCAAGTCTTCGATCTTCAAATTCATTATAATTTCTATGGATGATCTAATATACTCTAGAATCTGAAATCCATCTTATTTTAGAAGTTTTTTCTTTTCTTTTTCAAGGTGGCTCTCATCAATCTTATCGAGCTAAAATGATAATACTTAGATTTTTATTCCGTATATTTATGGTAATTTCAAAAGATTTGAATAGTTTAGTATCTTTAATTTTACTTACCTCCTCTGTAGATCTTATCTTAATAGCAAGATAAAGATCGATAATTGCTTCTTTCAGATTCTTAAGTTCAGTAGCGATGCTTTTATTGTCACTGTTACTCATTGATTATTATTTAAGAAAATTATTAATTTAATAAAATTTGACTTGATTGTTTAAAATTAAAAGAAAATTTATCTCTTTCAAGTAATTTGACCTGACTTAGAGAAAATTGAAAGATGGAAATGCTTTTTTTAAACGACAACATGAAGTCGTACTTAAGATAGAATATTCAGAGAAAACTAAAGACTAATGACTGGATTTGCATGATTTTGGGTCTTATGGGAACATCATTCGCATGTATAGCAGTAAATATTGATTTATCTCCATTTTTATAATATCAATAGAGTGAATAATATTTTTGGGCTGATCCTAATAATAAAAAGGTAGATTAGTTTATGTAAGAATTATATATTTAGGATTGGAATCAAGAAGATGGAAAGACTACTGCTCTTAGAGCTGTGGTTACATTAACTACAATGCCATTATTGTATTGCATCTATAGACATTATAAATTGGATTTGTAATTTTAAAAAGCTAAGGAAACTCTCGACCCTCACGGTAATTTCATTCTTGATAAAGTGTTAAAAAGAAAACATAAGGACCTCAGGTCATCTCAAAATGATGATAGTTGAGTGTATTATATGTGGTTTGCATTCTCCTCCTAAGATAAATGCTGAAATTAGAGTCCCTTAATAATCTGATGAGATCCCTTATTCTCTTGATATGATTTTGACTTTAGTCACATTATTTAGATTCTATTTAATGTGGAGAGTTTTCGCCAGATATTCTTATTGGAATGACGAAAAGGCAGAAAAAATTTGCCATTAATGCCACACTTTTGGAGGCACGAGCTTTGCTATTAAATGTGAATTAAAGGAAAGACCCTATACTATTTTATTAGTAGCTATACTTAGTAGTATTTTCATTTTTGGTTATGCAATGAGGGCAGCTGAACTGTAAAATTAGACAATTTAATTTAACTTTTAGTCCATATTAAGAGCAAGCTTAAAATGGTCATGATTGGAGATATATATGGAATGGAATGTGGTGCATTATTATTACAATGGCAACAGTCGGTTATGGAGATTTTTATCCTGCCACACATCTTGGCAGATGTGTCGGAGTCATAGCATGTCTATGGGGAAATTTTATTATATCTATAATGGTAGTCTCTCTGACATTCTCTTCTGAATTTACACCATAACAAAGAAAAGCATATGATTTAATAAACTAAGAACTCGGTGTTTATGAGAACAACAAAAATGCTATAAATGTCATTTAAAGCGCTTTAAAATACAGACTGTATATGAAAAAAAATTTGAGACCAAACAAGAAAACTCAAAATAAACTTTTAAATAGGTTCAAATAAGCTGTTAGAAGATTCCAAAAGCATAGGAAGTAATTAAGCTTAAAATATTGACTAAATCATATAGGAACATTTTGAGTATGGAATAAGAGATTCCAAGAGAATCATTATTAGTCAAGCTAAACCAGAAAATGACTTAAGAATTCGATAAGATTTTGACTGATGCGAGAGGAATTAAAAAGACATTGGTGAAGCTTGAAGAGGCAGAGGTATATTAATTTGATTTATATTAAACTTAGAAAAATCAAGAAGAAATAGAAGAGTTGATTGAAGGTACATTGACATTAGGGAATTAATTGATTGAAAAGATTGAAGATTTCAAACAGAAATCTTAGAATCCAGATACATTAAATGCAGGAAGAATGGACTAAGAAGATGAAGGCGGATTCGAAAAGAAGTTGTAATCAAAGATCAATTCAATGAATTAAGAATCATTTAGAAGTAGCAACTATTGATAAATTATGATTAGGATAAAAAACATGAGAATTTTAAATTTTAATATATCATAATGTTAAAACTATATTATAGATTAACTAATCATTCTTAGTCTAGACAGCATATTTAATATTTCATCAATGGCATTACTCAACTATAAAAGCACTTAGGCCATGCTTTAACTGATTTAAAATCCCACTAAATCACATTATAATAAACATCAAAGATATCTCTAAGGTATACTTACATCTCTAACGTTCTAAATTCTTGAGTCTTAGGCAAATGAATAGGAGGCTGGATTTCTATCTGGGCTACGACTTATTGTATGCCTTACTGGTGAGATGGTAACGTTTCCGTCAAATTAAGATCTATTGAGCAGAGTCTAATGAGTAGATTCCATAAAAGTAGTCATTGCAGCCTTCTCCTTAATTTTATATAGATTTTTAATTTCCTCCTTCCTCATTTTATCAAAAACTCTGGTGTCCTAATCCATCAAATTATCATTACAAAATTTACCCGAGAGAAAGAATATCCCTTTCTTTGTAATGATGAAAATTTCTTAGTATCAATATACTATCCTGGACCTGGAGGAGCAATTTTAGATACTAGCATTGGCTGGCATGTTTATTTGGCAAAATCCCATAGCTATAGTAAAAAGTAAATTTAAAACAAAACTTACAGTTCTTAGATTTTACCTATGGCCTTCTATCTTACTCAGCTTCATTCGTTTGTCTTAAATTTTATCAAACTAGCCTTTTACAGTATATGATGCACTACTAGGTTCAAATTCAGATTTAGTTTGATATGACTTCATTCTGACCTATTCAAGTACACTCTTACTTTATTTAGATTTAACTGAGAAATTTATGTTATTTCTTGATAAGTCATCAGTGTTCAATTAATCTCTCATATGGAAAAATGAGTGCTTTTAGGTATGAAATGTATTTATCATCATCGCTGTATTACTTGTCTTTACTCTCTAATTTGGGGGTAGCATTTCTTGAAGAGTTGAGAAATTGCCTTTCTCTAAATAAGCTTCTCCACTTTGTATTCTTATGTCATTAACTACCTGGAAATTATTAAATAGCTAAGAATTCTCAGAGGTGTGATTGTTTTACTGATAAAGATTTCTCTGCTTTTCCATTTATTTATTAGACTTAATATGCCTCAAATCATCGTTAATTTACACTACTCCTTCATTATTATCAATAGCAAGAATCTAAAAATCTTTAGTAGCGTGACTATAATTATACATGTTATTACTTTACTAGTCAGTGTTATCATTATAAGCTGTTTCTGCTTCATTAAGCTAAACAGATTCATTTTACTAATGATTTTTCTCATTTTAAGGAGTTTCATCATCTATTTATTCAAAATCAGAGTCTTAGCTATAGTTTTCTTCATCATTATTCTTTTAATCCTATGACTCATTGATTTTACTTTATTATCTTTTCTAATCATTCACTAATTAATCTTCCTTAAGCTAATTTTCAATCTCTTATTTGTCAACAAAAATACTGCCTCCTACATCTTGTTCTAAATTTGCAAAATTCTTTTGCTATACAGTCTGTGTTGAGGATTGGAACTAGGAATTATAAGCATTCTAATGGCTTTATCTTTCATGTACTATTTATGGAGAAATTACATAGTTACTAGAGTACTAGTCCACATTAGATGAGTTAATTGACATAACTGCTCTTGAATTGATTTATACTGGATTCTGTAATAGTCTTTCCTAGTATTCTTTAATTTAATGGTGCTTTAAAAATGGTTAAGCAGAGGGCTGTTTATCTTTTATTTTTTCCCAAAGTGATTTTTAAGTAGTAAGGGGCATAGCGTATGATATTTTTTGAGAGCTTAACCCTTGACTTTTTCATCTTCGGTTGCAGTAGACACTTTAAGATTTAACTCTTTGCTTAGGCTCACTTTATTATGATATCATTTTTAATTTATATTTCTATTATTAATAAGTCTTCAACATTAACTGAACTATCGCTATCATGGGGTTTTGGGGTTTTGGGGTTTTGGGG